AAATCAATGTTTTGTCTAAAACTTTAAATTCCAAAATATCATTTAAAACGTCGAACGCAACATTTCGAAATGACGGTTGAAACGTTTAATTCATAATTTCGAATTGACATAAAGCGGTATATTCGAAATTTTAGAACGTGACCTAAAGGGACACATTCAAATTGTTAAATCGTCATTTTTAACTTCAAATTAATGTTTCAACTAAAACGTTAAATTCAAAATGTCATTTCGAATCTCAAACGTCACATTTCAAGGTATTTAAAATGTCAAAAACAAGGTTTCCAAGCGATTAATTCACAATTTCAAAATGACGTAAATTTTAGAATGTGTCCTAAAGGGATACATTCAAAATGTTGAAATGTCATTTTTAACTTTAAATCAATGTTTCAGCTAAAACGTTAAATTCAAAATGTTATTTTGAACCTCAAGCGTCAAATTTCAAAGTATTTAAAATGTCAAAAACAAGATTTTAAAGCGATTAATTCATAATTTCAAATTGATGTAAAGCAATTTTAGAACGTTTCCTAAAGCGACAAGTTCACAATGTTGAAACGTCAGTTGTAATTTCAAAATGTCATTTAAAACGTCGCAAGTAATATTTAACAGTATATAAATTACATCTTTTATATTTAACAACATAATTTTCTTATGTTTTAGACCCCCTAAAATAATTATCCAGATTTAACAGATTACACCGACTGAATAAATAAATAAATAAGCACAGAGAGTACTGGGTAATTCGTGACGCATCGCTTTGGGTCGATTCCATTGAGTATAGGAATACTTATAATAGACGAAACGAAATCCAATAAAGGGACATAAATAACTGACGACCGCAGCCAACACATGTTGAGTTACCCACCCTTCCAAAAACTTTTACTCCGTGAATAGAAAAATAGAGAGGATCAAAAAGAAAGAGAGATCAATACCTACCCCACCAACAAAAAGGAACAAATCTTTAGAGTGTCGATGGCAGATACTACAACAACTTGTATTGAGGGTGAGAGTGTGCAGATTATCGTTCTTCGGGGTAATCTTTTCCCCCATTTTCGGGCGATGATTAAGTTTTTAGGGGAAAAAAAGAATTTATTTAATTTAGTTCATTTCAATAACATCCGTAGTTTTAGACTCTTTAATCTCCAAAGGTTCCTCGCGAACTTCCTCTTCTTGGCACCGATCGGCCAAAGAAATTTCATGCAACAACCGATTATTCTCCTCCTCCAACGCTTTAATACACCTCTCATTATCAACAATAATCTTTTTGTATTCATTATGAATCTCGTGCCGAGTCGCAACCGCATCATTCAAAGTCTTTTCAGTTTCCCGCACGCTCACGCATTTCTTATGCAACCCCAAAACAGCCTCCATTTTTTGATTCTTCCGATACTCCAATTTCAAATCTTTCCTTAACGCGTTCGTTTCGACGATTAACGCCGAATTTTCTTCGACCAATTTTAATTTGTCCATAATCGAAGAGGATGTTTTATTGATTTGGGTTTGTAACGATTTGATGGTTTTTTCTAAAAAGTCGCGTTGACGTAGAAATTCGTTTTTGGCATCGCGATCTTCCGCCAACATAATTTCGAAGTCTTTATCGGTGTTGTAGGTGTGATACATTTCTTTGACTGCTTTTTGTAGTTTTGGAACGTCTTGGATTAAACCGCTCGCGTGGTGGATGTCGTTTCGAATTTTTTTTAAGGCTGCTTTCGCGCAACGATTTTTGGTTATTTCGCGTTTGATTTCGAGGTCGGCTGCTTTTAATTTTTCGCGTAATTCGCGTAATTGGACGTCTAAGGAGAGGATGATTTTTTGTAAGTTTTCTAATTCGTTGACCATTTCGGTGATTTGTTCCATTTGTTCGCGGATGCGGCGTTCTCTCGGCTCGATTTGCGATTTTAATTCGTTTATTTTGAAGTCTAAAATGAATTTGAATTTTTCTAGTTCTTGGTTGCGGCGTTTTAATTCGAAGATTCGTTTCTCTTTGTCTTGTATTGTTGAATCGCGCTCGGCGATTTCTTTTTTTAAATCGAGCATATCTTTTTCTAAGTTTAATATGATTTGTTTTAATTTTAATTGTTCGTTTTGTTGGGTGTGTACCGCGTGTTTTAAATCATCGATTTCTTTTGATGCCGCTGTTAATTTCTTTTTAACAGTTTGCGCTTCACCTTTTAGCCGAATATTCGCGTCTTGTTCCGCGGTTAATTGTGTTTCATAGTTTATTTTAAGATCGTAAATTTCTCGATCTGCATCATCTTCGATTTGTTGCTTAATTATTTCGTGTTCTTTCGATCGTTGTCTTCCCTCTTCTTGCAACTCCTCCAATTGGACTTCTTTCTCATTCAATTTCTCAACGAACGAATTTGTTATATTCGCCTCAGATTCCTTTTTGCTCACAATTAATTCCTCGATTTCAAGCAAAAATCTCACTCTCATCTGTTCCATTTTTTGTTCCAACTTGAGATATTTCTCGTATTCGTTAATAAGTTTTTCGTTATAACTATTTTCTAATTTTTGAATGTATTCTTCGTGATTGTGTTTCATTTTCATGATTTCTTCGTTAATCGTGTTGATTTCCGTGAAATGGTCTCCCTCTAAAGCTTCGATTTTCTCTTTTAATTCTTCGATGGCGTTGCAGTAGCCTTCGTGGACGTTTTTGATGGCTGCGTTATGTAACGTTTCGATTTGGCGCATTTGATACGCGTGTTCCGTTTCTAATTCGTGCATTCTTAATTGTAAGTCGCGAATAAAGTTGAGTTTTTCTTCTAAATCGACTTTTGGAATTAGAATTTCGGTTGAAGGTGAGAATTCTTTGTCGAGTTTAATTGCTTTTCCTTCGATGTTTAATAAACGCCAAATACAAATGATTCCCTCCCTTGAAGCTGTTATTATAAAACGATCATCGTAAGTTATTTCCATCTAAAAAGAAATAAAAAATAGTTTATACATCAAATATTTAATTCTAAAAATTAATAACCTAGCAGAATGAAAGAAGATTATGTTGAGGGACCATGCAAAAAATTGATCTATCAACATCGTTCTGAATATTTGTGATCAACATCTATCTCATTTTTTGCATGGTCTCTCAACATAATCTTTGATACTCTTTAACACTGTTCCTAAACATCTCCCACATCATCCATCAACATTTTCAACATCCCTAACATCATTCAATCGTCTTATTATCATCTTTCCCATCGTTCCTAGCCTTCCACGACGTATTTTCAATATCTTTCTAGCTATCTAACAGCATAGGCCTTGATATCCTCCAACATCGCCCTTGATGCCCCATTTCCAGTTCTCATACATTAATGACACTTCTTTTATTAAATATTGGTTACTCAAATAGGGTCAATAAATCCAAAACGAATGTAAGTCAAATTATGTCACTCAGCAACATACATAATGGACACCCTGTAGATATTCTTCAATATCGACTATAATATCTCTTTACATATTTTTTGACAAATTTTGATTTACCTTTCAACACCACCTTACGCTCTTCATCATGTATATCGATAAACATTATAATCGGTCTTCATCTACATCGTCTATGACATTTCTCACAACTTTTAGTAGTCTCTCTATTATACATCTTTAATGTTATTATTATTTTCTACCTCAATATATTCATCTACATTATTTACGGCATAACTCAGGTATTCCTCAACTTCCTTCATGATCCTCATCGGTGATATCTCTCAACACCCTTCATGATTGAGGACTTCATGCTCCTCAACAACAGAAATGTGATAAATTCATCTACTTGCTCTACACTTTCTGTTTAATCACCAGTATTTTTATCGTTTTCAATCTTCTATGACATCCTTACAATACGCTTAAATTCAAAATGTCATTTCGAACCTCAAACATCAAATTCCAAGATATTTAAAATGTCAAAAACAAGAAACTTCAAATTGACGTAAAGCGGTGTATTCGAAATTTTAGAACGTTTCCTAAAGGGATACATTCAAATTGTTGAATTGTCATTTTTAACTTTACATTAATGTTTCAACTAAAACGTTAAATTCAAAATGTCATTTCGAATCTCAAACATCAAATTCCAAGATATTTAAAATGTCAAAAACAAGATTTCTAAGCGATTAATTCATAATTTAAAGCCGTATATTTCAAATTTTAGAATGTGCCCTAAAGGGATACATTCAAAATGTTGAAATGTCATTTTTAACTTCAAACCCATCGTTTTAAAAAATTAATATTTTATTTAAAACGTTGAAATCAATGTTTTGTCTAAAACTTTAAATTCCAAAATATCATTTAAAACGTCGAACGCAACATTTCGAAATGACGGTTGAAACGTTTAATTCATAATTTCGAATTGACATAAAGCGGTATATTCGAAATTTTAGAACGTGACCTAAAGGGACACATTCAAATTGTTGAATTGTCATTTTTAACATCAAATTAATGTTTCAACTAAAACGTTAAATTCAAAATGTCATTTCGAATCTCAAACGTCAAATTCCAAGATATTTAAAATGTCAAAAATAAGATTTCTAAGCGATTAATTCATAATTTCAAATTGACGTAAAGCCGCATATTTCAAATTTTAGAATGTGCCCTAAAGGGATACATTCAAAATGTTGAAATGTCATTTTTAACTTCAAACCCATCGTTTTAAAAAATTAATATTTTATTTAAAACGTTGAAATCAATGTTTTGTCTAAAACTTTAAATTCCAAAATATCATTTAAAACGTCGAACGCAACATTTCGAAATGACGGTTGAAACGTTTAATTCATAATTTCGAATTGACATAAAGCGGTATATTCGAAATTTTAGAACGTGACCTAAAGGGACACATTCAAATTGTTGAATTGTCATTTTTAACATCAAATTAATGTTTCAACTAAAACGTTAAATTCAAAATGTCATTTCGAATCTCAAACGTCAAATTCCAAGATATTTAAAATGTCAAAAACAAGATTTCTAAGCGATTAATTCACAATTTCAAATTGACGTAAAGCCGCATATTTCAAATTTTAGAATGTGCCCTAAAGGGATACATTCAAAATATTGAGGACTTCATGTTCCTCAACAACAGAAATGTGATAAATTCATCTACTTGCTCTACACAACTTTCTGTATAATCACCAGTATTTTTATCGTTTTAAATATCATCATCTTCTTTATCACTTATTAATATTATCCTTGATATCTTTGGCGTTCATCAACATTATTTATGGAATTCCCCCAACATTGTTCCTGACATTTTCAAATATTATGATTTATGATATATTAGGTAATTCTCAACCTCATCTGTGATATCTCTGAACACTCTTCTTGATATCCTCCAACATAGTTGCAACATCATTACTGTACTTCCTCAATGTTGTTGCAAATTTTTTATCTGTAATTTTTCAACACCTTCTATGACATCCTTACATTACGCTTGATATCTTTCAGTATAATCTCTGCTTTCTTTAGTCCTATCTAGGTCTTTTTTAACATTTTTCTTGACACATATCAACATCGTCCTTATTGCTTTATACCCTTCAACAACATCCTTGATGTTAGTTACTCAACATCCTCTACGACAGATTTCTATATTATCTCTAACATTTTTTAGTAATTAGCAAACAACATTTTGATAGACAACATCGATACTTCAACAAGAGACTTCAATAACATCGATGTTTCTCGAAAATATAAATATTTGATGAATCTGTAGCTTTTTCAAGTTATTAAAGGTAACACTAGAGAATCGGAGCATGTTATAAAAAAACTTTTATAACAAAAGTTGTAGCAAATTTTGTACTTAGCAATATTGCTCTCTTGTACTTTTGCTCTCAGATGCATAAATATTGAGAAAAATACGAAATTATGAAAATTTTATGAATTTCGTCGTTTTGAAAGTACTTCATGGTAACACTTGGATATCGGAGCATGTTACAAAAAAACTTTTAAAACAAAAGTTGTGGCAAATTTTATACTTAGCAATATTGCTCTCTTGTACTTTTGCTCTCAGATGCATAAATATTGAGAAATATATGAAAATATAAAAATTTGATGAATTTGTTGTGTTTTCAAGCTATGATAGATAACGTTTAGGAATCGGAGCATGTTACAAAAAAACTTTTATAATAAAAGTTGTAGCAAATTTTATTGTTAACAATATTGCTCTCTTGCACTTTTTCTCTTAGATACGTCAATATCGAGAAAAGTACAAAAATATGAAATTAAATGAATTTGCTTTTTTATGCTATTAAAGGTAACATTCGGGAATCGAAGCATATTATAAAGAAACTTTTAGAACAAAAGTTGTAGCAAATTTTATTGTTAACAATATTGCTCTCTTGCACTTTTGCTCTTAGATACGTCAATATCGAGAAAAGTACAAAAATATGAAATTTTGATGAATTTGCTTTTTTATGCTATTAAAGGTAACATTCGGGAATCGAAGCATGTTATAAAGAAACTTTTAGAACAAAAGTTGTAGCAAATTTTATTGTTAACAATATTGCTCTCTTG